GACTGAGGGAAAGCACTTATTGAATACCTCAGCTTTTTCCATGTCTGAGGACGCCAGCTCTCCATCCTCATTTATCATAGGGGGAACACTCTCCTTGGTCTGTCTCCTCCCTCCTGATAAATGAGGACAGAGAACTGGCTTCCTCAGACGTGGAAAAAGAAGGTAAAAGAACTCAGAACCTTCCTTGGCATGACAGGTTGGTGGAGACTATGGATCTGTAATTATGGGCCTTTGGTAAAACCTTCATAGGAATTACTGAAAATTAACCACTCTAGGTTGACATGGACAGGAGAGGTGAAAAAGACATTTGAAGAACTGAAGAAGGAACTAATCAGAGTTCTAGCTCTGGACCTTCCAGACGTTACAAAACCATTCTGGCTGTTCTCTCACGAGAAGGTTTAGCCTTGGGTGCTCTTGCTCAGCAACTGGGACATCAGACAGGGATACTGACTTTTGTGAGCAGGTGGTATAACAAGTCAGTACAATGCTGGGAATTGATTGGGAATTGTACACACCCTATTGACCACATGCAAGCAGACAAGATTCAAAGATGAATCATTTTACAAAATTTTAAATAGCTAAAATTTGCCAGTTTGATAAACTTATATTGGTATCAAACAATCCATATAGCTTTGATGAGAATTAGGGTAAAACCAAGATTTAAAGAGAGTTTGAGCAATTTTAAATACTGCATGGTAGACCTTACCAACTTCAGTTTAAAGGAGAGTATCTGAATTAATTTGGTGAAAACTGCTTACAGAGATATATAATTGCATTGGGAAATCAGTTAAGCAAAATTAACAAAGCGGTTTGGGGATTCAGAAAAAGAGGCCCTCAAATCTAGCAATAAGTGATAGCTCTCACTGATTTTTCACCAGCAAGACTGGGGTGTTGTATTCAGATTCACATTCAATTAATAATCCAAACTTCAAAAAGTTCTTGGTCTTCACTTCCACAGCCTTTTCTCTTACACAAACTGTATGTATAAGATCATTCTATACTGTTTATACAGCACTGGGAGATTAATGGTGTTATATAACATTTCCTGTTTACCATTTTTTTAATGATAGAAAAATAAAATGGGAATATAGACTACCCTTGGGGCCATGCTGAGTAATCAAAACTCATGTCATTGGTGATTCAAAATAATATTCAGTTCAGTGCCTCAGAACGGATGGGAATTTCAGTGTATATCATCTCGCTGAAGATTACAAGCCACTAATAGCTATGGCACACAGGCATATAGGGCTGATGAATCTTCCACAGTGTAGTTCATGAAAAAGCATTTTTCCCCTTTTTTAAAGGTTTACAATGATTTGTTATTCATTAAGCTTAGATATATTGTGGTTTATTATATTCCAAAGCGGTTTTATTTAGGCTACTTTTCATTCGAGATTAGCTAACATGAAATCCATAATGGTAAGGAGACATTTCCTTCTTGGAATATTTGTAGAACGGCATGCACAACCTAGATTCTCTTCCCCTTTCACATTTACATGAACTTTCTCAGTTTTAGTTATCTTTTTCTCTCACTTTTGCAGCAGCAGTTTGCATAAACATGTTACAAGACTTCTGTCCTTTATATCCTGGACATAGACAAACACATGGTGTCTACTGAACTCAGTGAAGACTCTTGATAGCAGAAGTATTAGAGCAAGAGAAGGCTTTTAATAGTAGACAGCGTAATCACACTCTCATCCGGGCCAAAGAGAAGGTTCTTCATGAAGGCAGTACTGTTACTCAGTTTGCAACTTGATCGTTTCATAAGAACTGCTCTGATAAGTAGTGGCTGCAGGAACAGGCATTCCGTAGTGAGAATCTGATGTTCATATTCCAGAATCCTGCACCACCACTTATTTTCAGGCTCCCAAGCTGCACCAGGTACCTAAATAACTGCTCTTAAGTCCAGTGGGAACTGATTGCCCTAATATTTCAGCAGGGTACAGCTCATCTTTGCATAATAATTTCAAAGATCAGTACACCTGCTGAATAATGCTTTAAGTCATTAAGAGTTCATGGTAAATGTTTAGCTGAATTGTAACAGAACTATGTTTGTAGCTGCATTACTCTGTCTGGCACCAGCCTCTCTTATTAGCAAGGAAATCCTTTACTGTCTTATAAGCCAACAGAAATCATACTTCCTTGTAAAGACAGTGTCAAAACCAAGTCCAGACTGCACTTGACAACTGTTTAGAAAGCCAAGTCATATTTTGCGAGCAATTAGTTTTCCTTTTTTTTTTTTTTTTTTTTTGAAAGTTCTGCTGTGTTGTTTTTTTTGTTGCTGTTTGCTGTTTTTTTATGGAAAAAATGCAGTATGTTAAAACTGAAGGTTGAGGAATGATTTGACAAGACAGTGTCTAACCCCATGAAGAAAGCAAGATCTCAAAGAGTTTGATCTTGATTAGGACAAATTCTACTCTCAGTTATAGCAGGAATCCAGATTAGACTACCTCCAAGGGAAAGTTAAAGCCCACAGAACGTTTCAAGATGAAGTTCTGGGTAATCTCCACAAACACTAAAAGAGGTTCAAAAAGCAGTCACGACAATCTAAGAGTTTAATGTCATTAAAGGGCGAGGATTCCACTCCTCTCTCCTTGCTTACTTCTCCAAACCCCTGAACTTCCCTCTCCTGTTCTTGTACTGATTTTGACATTCACTTTCTTTCCAACTCACTAATTTGACAAAAAATATATATATATATATCATTTTTGTTGTTGCTGCACTGGATTTTCTGCCAGAATAGTGAGCTCAAGGGCTCCTCGAAGAGAAGACATCATTTGCATATCTACCTGCAAATGGATAAAACCAGTTCAGGGCATGTAACAAGTGGGCACAAAGGGAAGGAAGAAAACTGGAAAGGAAGGAGGCAGGCCAGGCCCTTCTCTTTCTATCAGCAACAGGCTTTTAAGACCCATTCAACACAGGCCAGATGTGCTTTCACCTTCATTATTTCCACACAAGTGTCACCTTGATGCAAAATGCTCCCACTAAAGCAAACAGATCTGCCTGAATATGTAATACAACTGGACTACATACTTTGTCCATCTAGTTGCAGATAGTTTCTCAGCATATTATAACACCATTCCCCATCTAAATAAACAAGCAAAGCAGCTCCCAACATCTGAAGTCAATGTGAAAGATTCAGTTCTCTATTTTCGGACTCAATGTCTTCCCCACTTTTCTCTTCCCTCTCTCCATGTTTTAGTTTGGAGATAAAATCTGTGTAATGGTTCTTCATACTAAACACAAACAATTCTACTTGCTTGGCATTCACCACGCCTGTTTTACTGAATAGGAAGGAAAAAATGTCATTAATTTGGCCATTATCATTAAACTGCATGGTAAGAGACAAGCACAATTTCAGTCTAGGCTAAAAATGTCAAAGCACTATTCTGTGAGGCTGACTTAAATTTTATCACAGCATATATAACTGAGGTACTTGCATAAACCATAATCCTGACTTAATGGTTATTTAAATGCATTAGAAAATTAGTTCAAAACAAACCTGGAGCACTGATAAGAAGGACTTTTCTTTCTGCTAGTCTTGCTGTGCCATTCAACTTGACAAAGGCATGAAACACCCTTCAACAATACAACAAGAGACTGAAGGGAAAAGAGAGATGTCCATTCCAAGAAATGTAGTCACACAACTCCTTGATTCAAGGAAGCAACTTTTTGTCAGTCTTCATTAGTAAGTTGTAAAGTGCTGCATTAACAGGATGAAGGTAATTTATCATTAGTCTTTCAAAAATATCTTAACTGTAAAATCCACTGCACTGGAAAGATTTGGTTTGGAAATAAAAGAAGGATGTGTTTTGGTGAAAGGTGATGCATTCCGCCCAAGTCCAAGGTATAATCCACACGGTGGTTATTTAAGTAGCAAGGCATGCCATGTCAGACTCTGTTGATCCCATCCATTTCCAGTCTGTGGTAATTAAAAACAATGAGCTAGGTACATAAATTGTATAGATATGTGAAGGTGACTGATGTATGTGCCAAAATAACCCAGAGTGTGAAATAAACATAGTATATATTCTACTTCCATGTGTTACTACTGTCATACCTATTCACTACCTAATGGTTTTGATCTGTTGTGCACTTGGATCAAACCTAGTAAGAGCAGGCAGTTTTTCGTTTTTTTTTAAATTATTATTATTTTATTTTTTATTTTAGTCTCAAAAACAAAACTATAAAACTGTAATATATGTGCTTCTTTTGGGGAGGACAGAAAGCACGAGACAGAATATTTAGAAATTCTAAAACTGTAAGGTGATTAATAAAATTATTTATAAAGAAGTGTATCTACAATGTTTAATAATTTAAGGCTCACAAGGAACTAATATCTCATCAGTAATAAAAACTTTCTGTGCTTAAAGCACTTTTCATACTAGACAAGCAGATCTGTAGTGATCACAAGTGAAAAACTCTACAAGTGCTGATCTGCCAATGTTCCTAGTGCTTTAATGGAGTGATATGTCTCAGGAATAAGAAATCCCCTTTCACACAAAAATAATGTTATATAGATACAAAATAAATTGGAATATTTTCAGTTTGAAACTACAGTACAAAACCCTCTTATTGTTCCCTCCCACTCCAAAATTCATTCATTCTCTGCACATGTCCCCCAGCTCTTTAACAATTTGCAGAAAATGTATTGATTACAAATGACTATTTCAAGCCAACTATGATTTGCTAATAGAAGTTTCTACAAATCAGATTTTGAATTTTCATAATTTACCAGCTCCTGCATAATGGAGAATAGTTTACATAATCTATTTTAAAAACAGGTGACCATTTGTGTCATGGAAAAAGAATATAAAAACATTTATTTCTGGAGGACTGCTCAGGACAATGATCAAATTATAAAATACAGCCTGATTTAAAGCAAAAAACGAAAAACCAAGCAACAAAACAACAACTGGTAGGAAAATAGATATAATAGCAAGTTTCTGACACCAACAAATTCTGCTGCATCTTTTAACTACAATTCTCTCCTTTCCTTACAGGTCTGTTTCCCTGCTGCTGTCCAGACAGAGGGCATAGAGTGATTTTCTGAGATCTACATTACTTTTAGCTTTGATACTGTTTTTCTCTAAAGGGCTGGTGCTGCTTTTGAACCCTTCATTATTTTCCAAGTGCACAACAGATTTGTTCAGAGAGTTTTTACTGGTTCTTCTCTTTCCATCTACCCCAGTTACGCTGCCCTGAGCACTGCTGTGTTCTTCTTTGAGCATAGATTGATCCTCATGGTCAGTCTCTCGGTGGTAGAAGTAGTTGAAGTTGGACACAATAACAGGGACAGGCAGGGCAATGGTGAGCACACCAGCGATGGCACATAAGGAGCCCACGATCTTGCCCCCCACAGTAACAGGTCGCATATCCCCGTAGCCCACAGTGGTCATGGTCACCACAGCCCACCAGAAAGCATCAGGGATGCTGGAGAAATGAGACTCAGGATCATCAGCCTCAGCAAAGTAGACAGCACTGGAGAAAAGGATCACTCCAATGAAGAGAAAGAAGATGAGGAGGCCCAGCTCTCTCATGCTGGCTTTCAAAGTCTGTCCCAAAATCTGCAACCCCTTGGAGTGCCTGGAAAGCTTGAAGATCCTGAAGACTCTGACCAAGCGGATGACTCTGAGGATGGCCAAGGACATGGCTTGTTGCTGGCCCCCACTCCCATTGCTGCTGCTACCCCCAGGCTGCTGTTGCTCATTGGCCAATTCTGTGCCCAGGGTGATGAAGTAGGGGATAATGGCCACGATGTCAATGATGTTCATGATGTTGCGGGAGAACTCAGGCTTGCTGGGGCAGGTGAAGAAACGCACAAGGAGCTCAAAGGTGAACCAGATGACACAAGTGGTCTCGATGATGAAGAAAGGGTCAGAGAGGCTACTTGGTGACTGCATGGGTGGAGTGTCTCTAGCTGTGGAGTTCAAACCCCCACTTTGTGAGGGCACAGACATGGGTATCTCTCGTTCATCCCTGAATTCAGGCAGAGTTTCCAGGCAGAAGGTGATGATGGAGATAAGGATCACCAATACAGAGACAATGGCAGTGGCCCGGGCTGAGCTGGAACTTTCAGGGTACTCAAAGATGAGCCAGACCTGGCGCTGAAACTCACTGTGGGGAAGGGGCTTCTCCTCCTCTCTGATGAAACCCTCATCCTCCCAGAAACGCTCCATGGCCTCCTTGCCCAGCTGGTAGAAGCGGATCTCATCAGCAAAGACATCAATGGAGACATTGACAGGCCGCCGAAGCTTGCCCCCAGACTGGTAGAAATAGAGGATGCCGTCAAAGCTGGGCCGGTTGCGGTCAAAGAAGTATTCATTGCGGAGCGGGTCAAAATACCGCATACGCTTATCAGGATCTCCCAACAGTGTGTCAGGAAACTGGTTGAGGGTGCCCAGCTGAGTCTCGAAGTGCAGCCCAGAGATGTTGATTAGAACCCGCTGATGGTGCATGGTGCCCCGGCTCACTGCTTTCATCTCCTCCTCCTCACCGGCCGCTGCCATGGTCATGCCCCGGTGGTGACCCCCCTCCTCCGCGAGATCCATTTCAGCAGCCGGCCGGAGGCGCAGAGCTTGTGGCTGCGGTTGGGGTCCGGACGCCGCTCGGACGTTGATGCTGCCCTCACTGCTGCTGCAGAGCCTCCTGCCGCTTCCTCGGAGGACCGGCGGGGACTTCTCCCGCTCCTCGTCCACCTGCGGCGGCGATGAGGCCGGTGGCGTACCCACCTTGCCGTCGCTCAGTCTTGCAACAGACGTGGACCCCGCGAGGCAGAGTAGCTCGCGCTGTCGCCGAGCCCCGGTGCTACCGCCGACGCTGCCGGCCGTGGCATCCTCGCCGGCCGAGATGGCCCCGCCACCGCCGTTCTCCAGAGTCACCAGCGCGATCTCCATGGGCAGCAGCGGCAGTAGGCGGGCTCCACTGAGGTGGCGGGCATTCTGTGCATGCCGACTTGCCGCTACCAGCCACCTCCGGACGTATGGGCGGCCGCGCTGTCCTGCCCTGCCCGCTCCCCCTCAGTGCTCTGCGGCCGAGCGTGTCCGAGCGCGGCCCGGGGAAGCCGGCCGGGGACCCGGATATGAACGAGCGATCATTCTGATGGTTGACGTCAGCGAGAATCCCTTCTCCCCAGCGGTGGCGGCGCCAGCCTCCCCCGGTATCAGGCTGCTGCAGCACCGCCCCGCCCCGCAGGTAGTACTGACCGCACCCGTGCTCCAACCCAGCCACTAAGTGCCCTCAGCGGAGAGAATCGTGGTGTGACCCCGCGCGGATATGTATTCCTTGCGTCGCGAAGGTCTCCGGCTGGAATTCCCGGAGCACCTCTCAAATGAAATCTAGAGCTCCTCTTGATGCGTACCCCATTTCCCGGCCCCCACCGCTTAATGAGAACAAAGAAAGGAATGGGATCTGTTTTGCTTTGCTCCCTTCCTTTCCCTGCCCTTAACATGCAGCTCCAAAAGGTGCTTCTGAGGCCAGCAGATAGCAACCGTTCCACCGGGCTGCCGGGTTATTATTTGCAATTTGGAGCCGTAGTTTCCCTTTGATGAATTCTTAAACCAACATCTAAGGCTGGTACACTTCAAAATACATGCATTTTATTAAAGAAAAAGAATTGAAGAAGCTTTATATGATGACTTCAGTTACACTTCAGTAATATAATCAATGCTGAGGTCTTACTTTCTGGATTCAAACAGTGAACTTCAAGGTCTAGAGAACAATATTCTAAATATATATACAAACAACGTAGGATTAAAATCTATACATATATATACATACGCACAGCATCAGATGTAAAAGATAGTAAATGAAAAAAACATTTTTCCTTCTAGGTGGCATCACTGCAGTGACATTTGAATCCTTGCAGCAGTAATGATAGATTCATCAAACCTAGATTTGCTGGGATTAATGAGTTTTCACTTAATGTAAACTATTGCCTCTGCGTATGAAATATGCTTAAAGATATTATAAGCCATGCCAAAACTGAAAACCATAATTATATTGAATGATTATTATAAATTATGATTTGTCTATGATCTATAATTTGCCTCTGAGAGCTAAGCACAGAATCACTGACCTGTTCTGCCTTTGTACAGCATGTTTTCTAGTACCTCACTGAAATCCTGGTGAAGAAAATGCACATTACTAACTGACACAGTTGGAAAACATGGCTGTGTTTTCTGGGTACCTTCTTAGCATCTCTAACAGTTCTGAGATCTTAGGATGTTATCTGTGTATGTGGGTACAAGGGAAGAGGGGAGGAAAGGGTGAAAGAGAGGGGAAGAAATATCTATTTCAGAAAGCAAATTTTAAGGGCGAATTTTTATTTAGCATTCCTAATTTTCTGAACATTGTGAAATGAGAAGAGCAGGCCATCTAGTAGAAAGCAAAGATATTGGAGAGAAAAGATGGCATGCAGACATAACTGAGATGTGTTATTCATGTTTTAACCTTTCCGTTAAAGAATATATTTCTTCTTATACCTATGAGTTAGCAAAAAAAAACATTTTTTACCCTGAGTACATGCATATGTGCAATCAGTTCTATACATTCCAGCATATTCACACTCAAACCTACCATTCTCTCTAGCTCCCCCTGCCATTTATTTTTTAAAATCTAGTCATCATGCCTGTTGTCATATTCTATGAATAAAGTATTGCTTTTTTTTTTCTCTGTCTGATCTGTAATTCTTCTAAGATTCCTTGCTTTACCAGCCAGCATCTAGGAGAGATGCACACAAGCTTTTCAGAAGAATAAAAGTCATTCAAAAGAAGATAGAGAAGATTCCCTATCTTCTCTTTAAAGATGAATCTGCATTCCCAAAAGTACCTTAACAACTTCTGCATGGGGAGAAAAGATGTTGTTCTGTACAGCATCCTGCCAGGGACCTGAATTACACTTACATGTGTACAGACCTGTTCAATAATATGCACCACACCTGAGACTTCTGTAATTGCTTCCCTCTGTAGTTAGAAATGCATTTTATGTATATTCAAGTGTTCTCTGGCCTTTCTTTAAGGTCCTGGGACAGATGCAACTGGCTGATCCAAGGATCACCTAATACATGCCATTACACAGCAGGAGAATCTGCTGGGAGCTGTCATTCAGTAGGACATTCCCACAGAGTAAGTTGGTGCCTTCATACAAAACAATGACCTATCCCACTTGGGGGTTTCATGTGTAGAGAGATAAGACATAGAGACAGTCTGCAGATGTTACATTCATCTACCCAATATATAAATAAAAATATGATGCTGAGATGTGGAGAGACATCTGCCAGCCTCTAGATGCTTGGTCAGCCCACAGCCCCTCCTTTTGGTAGTTGGACCAGACATGTCAGCTTCAATACATTTTGTGGGGAGAGATGCCATGAAGGTTCCTTTTTGATCTCCTTGAATTGTCTGAGTAACAGTCCCATTGTGGCAGATGGTGAGAACAGAAGAAATTGAAGGAGTTAAGGCAAATCTGTGCCTCCTCCACTTGGTTAATTCCCCAGCAGCCTGATCCTCTGTTGTGATAATTCAGGCCAGAGATAGCGAGATAGGCTGCGACAGTCCCCAGGGAGACTCCATAAAAAAAAAAAAAAGACTTTTATTTCCTGTTCAGGAGGATTAAGTGCAAGGCCATTGACAAATCACAGTAAACATCTGGATGAGAGCACTCCATCTATCAGGGCCTAATCCATGAAGTTATTCATTACTGTAGTCAGCAACTTTACATTGTTCTATATATAGTATCAGCTGATCTTTTTTAATGTTCGTCTTGGAGATGTTTTATCAACCGATTTTATTTATTGTGCAGAGCAATCTACTGCATCCTATCTTTGCCTAATTAATTATTTGGAGTAATTATGCCTTTAAAAACAAACAAACATACAAACAAACAAATCATTCAGTGCCATATTTTTCAAAAGTACCCAAAAAAATCCTGTTGTTAAAACCCAACTATGTTCCTTTATTTTATGCTGTTTTGCAGTTTTAAGCCTAAGTTTCTCTGGAAACTTTACATCACACAGTCAAGAAAAAAAAAAAATTGGAATTATTTTTTATTTTCTGTATTTTATTATAATTCAAATTAGAATCACTCTCATTAATCTTCCAGGAGAAAGTAAGCACTGAGTAAATGATCTGGTTAATTCAAAACTAATTTGGTCAGAACATCTGTACATTCACTTGAACAGTAGGAAAGATGCTGAACACTATCAGATATCAAGCTTATTCATTATACTGTGTATCTTATGAATGCAAGCTACTTTGAAAAATAAAAAGACCCACATTTTATAAGGGGAACACTTGCACACAACTGTGTCCTTGGAAGTCATCTGTCTACCCTGCCTAATACTCATTGCTGCTCACACCAAAACCTTGCCCATGTACCACATACATTGTTTTTCACACAGCTGTGCCACCTTATTTCCAGTTAAATCTGCAGGCTTTGACACTGATATTGGTGGGATCAGCATTTAGCCCAGAGGTTTTTATAAATCCAGTTGCAAAAGGATATTTTCAACCTCAAAATATTAGACTCTACCAGAGAGTATGAATCATCCAAACTTGCAATTTATGATTTCCAGTCCTTTTGACTTGCGGAGTATTACTGTGATGTAATATTTAACTGCAAGGACTTGAAAAGGAAGCAGCAAGATTAGAGATCCTACATAAGACATAAGAATGATTATGCCATCATAGAGAAAATCACAACATGGTACATACTCATAGTATCCTCAACCTGGACTACAGTCTGCTTGCCTCTCACAGCACTTCTGAAAAACTTGCCTTCCCAGTTCAGCAGCTTTTTCCAAAATATAGAAGGGTACCACATGTCCACCAAAGGTTGAGCCTTGACAGTTACTGCAAGGAGCAGATTTGGAATCCAGCCTTTCCCATAGCTGGCCTTGCATCTGTTCTCTGCCATGAACTGGTAACCTAGATCTTGAAATATGGAAACCAAAGGTGGGAGACTCCTTTTCTTCCTGAGTGGTCATCCGACTATCCTACCTGCAGTGGTTTTGATTTCTATTTTAGCTTAGGGAGAAGTACAGATGTTACTTATATTCATTTAAACATGAATCCTTTTACTTTATATTTTACAAAGTCACTTGTCTCAATAACCTGTAACAATGAGTTCTACCTACTGAAAGTCAGTTAAATAAAATCTGATTTCCTGTATCATCTTTTGCACTACAAATATATTTCATTTTCATGCAATGCTTTCTTGTTCTGCTTTTGCCATTCAGAATAAATAAGAATTCTGGACCAGTCCTCTCTGCACCATTTTACAACTACTCTACCTCTTTTTTTTTTTTTTTTTTTTTTTTTTTTTAAAAATAAAAATTTTTTTTTAATAAACCCCCTTTATCATTTTTCAACAACACCACCACTTTTTTTTTTTTTTTTTTTTTTTTTTTTGAACTGCATACATGTTGTTTCTATAACCACTCTTTATATGGAGTTACCTCTCCCACATACTTAACTACAATCATTGTCCTTGTCTAAAACATTGCTTTTATTCTGTATCTTTGAAAAAATATGGTATTGGCAGGTTTTGTTACCTCTTTAGAGAGAAGGAAATGAAAAAGGAATTCCGTATAGAGCAAGTAAAACTCACATATTTTTCTTTAACTCTTCTTTGTTTGCCTGCAATTAGATAACTCTTTGAAGGAACTCAATGAAGGGTGTTGAATTTCCACCCGTACTAAGAATCCAAAGATTTCCCAAGTAACTGCCTCACACCTTTCAATATCAAGCTATGTTTTCAGGGCTCCAGAGGGTAAAAAGGCTGCCACACAAAACAGAAGAGGAGGAAGTCTAATTTTTAAGTTTTCTCTTTCCATTTCATTACAAAAATGGGGTTTATCAGTTTGAAGCAAATGTAGTCACTGAAGGCCTATAGGCAG